GACAACTCAAACACTGGTTTTACCCTTCAAGCTGCAGGTTACAATCAGAACCGTTCATCTTCCGAAAAGTTTGAAGACTTCATCCCTCAGCCCACAAACCCTTATCCCGGCCCAAACAATTTCCTCATGCAAAACTCTTCAAACCAAGGATTGTTGGCGCACAACGATCAGAGTCTCATGAACCATCACGGTATGATCAGCCTCGGTGATAACATAAACAACAACAACAACAACAACAACAACATGTTCAACCTCGGAAACTTTCAGCACAATACCAAGAACTCTGATCAGATAAGTGTTCCTTCTCTTTTCGCTGATGGTGCTGACAACAACGATCCTAATTCTGCTTTGCTAAGGGGGTTAACTTCTTCATCTTCGTCAAGTGCCGTCGTTAATGACTTTGGAGATAATGAGAATGGAAACCTTAATGGTTTAATGAACTCTCTAGCTACGACAACAGATCAACAAGACCGGTCCGGTAGCAGCATTTTCGACCTTCATTTCGGTAACAAACTTAGCATGGGAGGCTCTGATAGGTTGACTTTGGATTTTCTAGGCGTTAATGGAGGAGTTATGAGCAACATAAATGGTCGTGGTGGTCGTAATCCAGCTCCTTTGGGCACTGAGATGAACTTTTCACAACCAAATCATCCATTTGGAAGAGCTTGATGAGATGATCCATGTGCAAAAATATATTGTTTGGGTTCCTTGGAAACTTTCTTTTAAAGTTGTTTTTGTTTGTCTTTGCCAACTGTTGAAGTGGATTAAGTATCCCCTCTTTAGTATTTCAGTTTCCTCAAGTTGGTTTTTCTTTTTTTTAATAATGTTGTCAGTGTGGAAATCTCAAACCGGGGTTTCCTATGGATTCTTCAACCATATCTGAGTTAATTTAATTATATGTAAATTCAGTTTTTCCCTCCTTTAAAATGTCAATTAATTTTAATGTAATGCCATTTTAAAATAATGCCATCAGCAATCGTATAATTTGTTACATTCAACATCTTACTCATAATATCTTAATAAGAATCGAACCCATTACTTATAAGCTATATATTGAATCTTTCAAACTACATGTACGAAAGAAATCTAGATCTCCATGAGAGTTTTTGCCATTTTGATAATTAGCTATATTGGTGTCTCTACTCATTGATTTATGTGTTTTTACCCAAATCACCCGTGGATATATTATGTGAGTTCGTTTTTTAAAATAGATGTATACAGTATTTGAAGACAAATATTATCATATACTCCGACATGATATTTAATAATTCTTGCTTGCTATGAATAAGTTTTAGATATATTCATATATAAATTACATATCATACGTTGCACATGCAACGTATATGTCTATGCGAGATATATGTCTATACGAATCGGATAATATTCCAGCAAAAGCATAATACAAACAGAAGGATCTAACATTCCAACATTATTCAAGTTCGTGTCGTAATCCTATAATTTTATAATAAGTATTGTTATAGTTAGGGGTGGGCACGGATCGAATATCCGGCTTTTCGAAGGTATTTGTGATTTGCTTCGTATGTTACGGATATCTGATTTTGGTATTTGCTTTGCTTCGGAAAAATACGGATATCCGGAAAAACGGATATCCGGAAAATAAACAGATATTTGCGGATATTTACGAATACTTACGAATATCTCATCCGTTACAAATAATCTTATATAAATTTATTTTGTAAAATTTTTTTA